AGAGGAGAACACAAACAAGAAGGGGCCTATGAGAGGAATGGAAACCAGCTGGAGGCAGGGAACGTAGTTAGAGGAGCTGGAGAAATTACAGACGTGAACAAAGGGGAGAAATAATGTCAAAGAACAAATTAAAAAACCTTAATATTTATAATTAATAAGATTTATGAAGAATGACACATTACGTATAGGAAAGAGAGAGTATTTAAAATGTCAGGTTTGGACCCAAGGTGACTGACTGGTGATGGTGGCTCCTGACAGAAGGAAACAGGAAGAAAGGCAAGCTGGGTAAAGGTGCAGTGAGAGAGAAATGAGTGTTGAAGACGTAACACCTTGCGGTCCAGTGGATGCAGAAACTGACAGCTGGTGAGTGCATTGGTGGTGGGGGCTTAGCCTTTGGCAGCTCTTCTCCTCATCAGGAGGTAAAACCAGTACCAAGCGCTAGCATTGCAAGGAGCACAGGAAGGGACCAGAAGACCAGTAGTCAGGCCGAAGGCAGAGGAGAGGGTGGGCTCTGGCCCCTAACTGTGTAGTTGCTGTAATCTCAGCACACTGCCAGAGAGTACTGGGTTCTGGCCTCCCTCTGGCATAGGGGCTAAGAACACAGGAGACCGCCTGAGAGAAACCGGATCCTGCCTCCACGTGGTGAGTTATGCAGTTTGGGAGTCTTTTAGACAGACCCACTGAAGGGTTACTCCAGTTGCCTCACCCTGCGTCCCTGTTCAGCATGCAGAAGACCAGTAGTCAGGCCGAAGGCAGAGGCGAGGACTCCCAAATGAATGAGACGGACTGGTCCTCTTTCTTGTCTCCTTACCGTGATATTAATGCTAGACGGAAGCAGGAGTTCAATTTTGTATATTTTCACTCTAAAATGAATTGAAGCTGATAAAGCTGGTTGTGGTGCTAAAAAAAAGAGTACTAATCCAGTTCACTCAAACTCGTTCCACTATTTGACTGAAACATCCACAACTGGACCACAAGTGTGCCCAACTTTTCTTGAGGTTATAATGTGAAATAATGTTTTTTAAATTTTATTTATTTATTACTTATTTATTTATTTATTTATTTATTTATTATTTATTTATTTATTTATATGTGTATGAGTGTATTGCTTGCATGTATGTAAGTGCACCCATGTCTGCAGAACTCAGAAGGTGTCAGATCCCCTGGAACTGGAGTTACCGGGGCTTGTTAGCCTCTATGTGGGTGCTGAAAATCAAATCTGGGTCCTCTGCAAGAGCAGTCAAGGCTCTTAACCACTGACCCATCTTTCCAGCCCTGAAATAACGTTTTTAGATAGAAAATAGGAGCAAAGTGGGAAGAGCTCAAGATAACTACGAAGAAATGCTTCTTTTAAGTTTCTCCACGTGGGAGAGGGTGGGCTCTGGCCCCTAACTGAGTAGTTGCTGTAATCTCAGCACACTGCCAGAAAGTACTGGGTTCTGGCCTCCCTCTGGCATAGGGGCTAAGAACACAGGAGACCGCCTGAGAGAAACCGGATCCTGCCTCCACATGGTGAGTTATGCAGTTTGGGAGTCTTTTAGACAGACCCACTGAAGGGTTACTCCAGTTGCCTCACCCTGCGTCCCTGTTCAGCATGGAAGAAGCCAGAGCGGTCTGCGCCCTGATTCCCTATTGGCAATTTGGGTAACCTCTTCAGACGGTGGTGTGATAAGAATAGGAGGTAGCAATTGGCTAGACAGGGTAAAAAGACACCAAGAAAACTACCCAGTTTCTTGGCTAAAATTCACACTGTCCTTTGGCCTCTTAGCAACATACTCTGTTCCAAAGGCCAAACGCGTCTAAAGTATTTGGAAGCTTTTATATAAACCTTAAAAGATTTTAGGGTTACCTCTTCAGAGGGAGGAATGTTAGAGCCCCATTTTAAAAAAAGAAGAAAGAGTACATGAAGTTATCAGAAAAAAGTGATGGGGAGATATGGGAGGAGTTGGAGGGGATGGAGTGGGCGTGGGTTTGATCAAAACACCTTGTATGCAGTAGCCGAAAATGATTTATCCTTCCAGGACTTCTGAAGAGCCTTGGGCTGGTGCAGGGCACCCTGGGAAGAAGGGTGGAGCTGAGTGTGGGAGAAGATTGGAACAAGGATTTGGCGCCATTCTGGGAAGCAGGGAACAGGGACCAGGCGAGCCAGCCTGCCCTGGACCCGGTGGGGCGCCTGGAGACCTCGTGAGGACCCCCGTGGACCCCTCACGGAACTCTATGGGGTGAGTGGGCAGGCAGGGATGCAAGATGAGGCAGACCATGGGCAAAAGCAATCTGGAAAGGTGGGCAGAGAGCAGAGCTGGGTGTGGGGTGCTGTGTTCGTTTCTTTGTAAGTTTCTCCTCTCCCCCCAAAAGGTACAAACTACGCAAAATTCAGATGAAGATGTGGTATGTCATTTATCTACACATGCCAGGAGCATGGGCCCCTAAGAGAACTAGGGCAACATGTGCATGTATGAAATTCTCAAAAAATTATTTAAAAAAAATTTCTCCATGTGAAGTTGGGACTCTCAAATCCTAGACCATCGAACCATGTCTGATTTACTCCAAAGTTGGCATAAATGATCAACTGTATCTGGGTTAGTAACTTAAAGGTGTGTCTGTTTCTATTCTGCAGTGATACAACAGTACTTAATAGTATTGGTGAACTATCCTCTCCCAGGACCCGTGCTAAGCATGAGAACGCTGGTTCCGTGTATGGGTTACACACAAATGGTACTCATGTAGCGGAAGAATGGATCTAAACAAAGCCATGTTGCGGAAGCAGAGAAAACCCAACTTCATTCCGTGTGTAGCTCTTTGTTGGGAGGAAACAGTGTATTAAGTTAAAAAATTTTGACGACAACATTTCTTTCACCATATTCCACTGCATTGTTGAAAGCTACAATTTTTAAGTCAAGATATCTTGTAAGGGAAAGTGGGAAAATAGATGCATTAAAGTAACTTAAATATTTGGATTTGGTGAATAAACCAGCACAAGAGATCACCGTTATTTTATCCGGCTTGAGTTTCAGCCAAAACCGGCTGATAGATTCTTTAGAAATTATCCATTATCACCAGAGTACCCATTTGATAGTTCACCTGTCCAAAAAATCCACTGCTGGCTTCCTCCTTCAAAGGAACACTAAGCTTTCTGACATGAGACATTCTTTATATAGAAAGCATCATTAGCGAATTCCTGGTGAGGAGCCATATGCCCCATATGTGGAATTTTCCACTTTGTTCCCCATTTACTGGTAGGACGTTCAGGCCTAGGATTCCCAGGTACAACGGTCCTTTCATCAGAAGAGTGATGGACAGATGATTCGGGACTCTGCCATGGCAAGCAACATGATGAGCCTGTTTGGATCATGTTTATGCCTCGATTTCCCCATGTCTAAACCACACAAATAATGATGAGCAAAATAAATAGTTGGTCCTTGCCACAAGCTACTGAGCATATTTTCCTCCCCCAAAGCAAATGACATCATTGACCCCAGGTCCCAACCCAGCGGAACTCACTGCGGTCACTTTAGGATGACATGTCCAGATTTTTTTCTATCACTAGAAATGAATGATGTCTTCTGCATGTACTTTACACACAAACTACATTAACATAGCTTTCCAATATCACTATTCAAACAGATCAGAATCCCTTCAAACGAATGCTCAGAGTCCCACAATGTGAGAGGACTAGAATTTCATTTAGTGATTCCTAGTCTCGCCGATACTTAACTGGCTCCCAACATTTTGACATTAAACAAAATGACACTTCAAGAGCTATTCTGATACGTGTTCCCTGTGCATATGGAAGGATTTCTGCCATGAATCATGAAAGTAGAGCCTCTGTATTAAGAAACTAAGATTTTAAATTGAATAGACATTGCTAATTTTTCTTCTAAAGAGAAGTGATCTCTCTTTGTGGTCCCTCAAGCAGCCTGGTCATGTATCTGATGCAGTTTTTTGTCAAAATCCTTCTGTTCTGGGATCCAACACAGGCTATCTGCCCCATCAAGCCTCTCTTGATGCCTCTGACGGGTTGAAATCTTGTCCTCAAATTTTCTTTTTCCAACTACACCTCGGTAATTATCCTGTTGTCATTCATTTTTTTGAAAATTTTTATTTTTTTTACTTATTTTTATTTTTTTGAAATGTGTACTGCCTACATGTGTGTAAGAACACCCATATCGTTCAATGCCCGCAGAGGTCAGAAGAGGGCATCGGAACTAGAGATATGGATGGTTACTAGCCACCATGTGGATGCTAGGAATCAAACCCAGTCCTCTGCAAGAGCCGCCAGTGCTCTAACTGCTTAGCCATCCCTCCAGTCCCCTATTGTTACTCTTATTGGCTGTAACTTATTGAAGGTAGTCACATTTTAGCTTCAGCAATGGGCTTGGTGTTTGTTATATATTAACTAGGTTAATGCTTGAGTTTTTGAGCAGCTTTGTATCAAAACACGTAATTTTTTTTCCCATGGAAAAGCAAATCCAAATGGCTTAAAGAATTGACAGTAATCTGCTGTGGGAGGCAGGCATTCAATTCACTCTATCCTGAAGGGCTTGGGTGGGAGGAAAGCTAGGATACTTCTATTTTGTCCTGTCAATTTTATTCTTTTTACTTTGTGTGTTTTGAAAGATTTTATAATATTTGGTTTAAAATGGTCTATGGTTTAAAGTGGTCTATGAAAACGTCTTCCCCCAATCACAAGTATTTCCTCATTACCTTGAGGGGCAGCCTGCAGAGTCTGACCTACACTGGGCTCACTGGAAGCACATCCAGCAGATGTACAAGCTGCAAGTGTAAAGCTGTGGTCTGTGTTTGGCCGGAGACTGAGAAAGAACAGACAAGCAAGGGCATCTGAGATGATTACTCATTACCCATTAAAGTGCTGGATCTTATAGGCAATGCTGTAGATGTAATCTGCAAACATTTTAAGACTCTCCCTCAAAGCACTTTCTTTGTGGTGCTGGGGATGGAACCCTGACACAGGCCAGGCAAGTGTTCCACCAGCAATCTTTAAAATTCATATAGGTCATGTGACCTTCTCCCGGATCCCCTGTGCAAGACGTCGTTGAGAAAGTGTTGCAGTGATTCCACGAGAGCACGCTACATCCCAACCTGCCCATTCCACCTAGAGAGAGCTGCAGGGCTCTCCCTGTTTGTTTGAAAGTCTTTCCTCATATTATGGTGAACTCTTTCTACTGTTTCTACCCTTGGGGACACAGAGAACAAATCTAATTTCTTTTCCACATGACAGTTCTTTAAATATTTGTAGACAGTTATCAAATCCCCCCTGAGTGTTCTCCTCTCCAGACTAACCTCCCCAGTTTCTGTAACCACTTCTTACACGAAGAGGGGCAGAACAAATTCAAAAGGAAGGTTAGACTCAGCGTTGTCTAGCCCCAAGCCATATTCAGGTCACATTAACACCAACCACCACTTTAAGGAAAAACACTGCGCGTGTTCACCATGTGTGTTCATAGTGTGCCATGGCACACTATCCTTGGGTATACTGATTTTATGGTCACACACACACACATCAAGGATAATTCAACGAGGGCATACTGTTCACTTTATTTTGTATTAGTAACAGAATGCAGCACGGTAACTACTCAATAAGTTCTCAGGGGGAAAAAAAGAATGACTTTATTTATGACAGAAGTTGTATGTGGTTATATTTCACCATGCCGTGGTTGGTGACCTTGGACAAGTTCCCTGGCTTCTCTTTGCCTTGGTCTACTGATCTGTAAAATGGGGAATCACTATAGCATACAGCTTATATGGGAAGATGAAACGGGATGGCTGGGTAGTATTTTATATCATCAGGCGCACCATGGAGGCTCCAGCCCTCGACAGGAAATAAGTGAGGCTCACAAGGTCGGTCTTTCATTCTCAGGAAAATTCAAACAATAGCAGAGCTGCATTAAAAACATTTAAAAGAAGAGTTCTCAGTAAACATGCCACATTATTAAGCTAAGCTACAGCATGAGTCTGGGGATGATTATATGTATTTTTCATGAACTTCTAGCTGCGGTTTCACACATTCTGCTCTTTTGCTGGCGTGATTCTTCCTCCAGTCATGTTTACGCCACCCTGTCGCTTCATGAAGACGTTTGCTGGAACACCACATTGTGAAAGGTTCTGACCTCTCTAAGGAACACATCAGTCCCCTTTTAGCTCCTTAAACAATTTTCCTGCACAGCCTCAGCGGTCTCTGATGTTGTAAGGTGTCATAGTCACAGCTCACTGTCTTCTTTTCTACAGGACTTTGTGCTGACTACCACTGTACCCTTCAGCAGTGCCAGGCACAAGGTCAGTGGTTGCTAAGCAAACTGAAGGGCTTAGCCATTGGATTCGTTCAGGACCAGAGTCCTGGTCTGGGTTCTCCATGGAATGCAGCAGAAGCTTCTCGAGTATTGGCGGCTTCAAGGCCTTCAAGCATTGATTGGTGTTTCCTTGTGGACTTAGTGATAAAATGCAGGCACTTACTTGATTATAATCTTCCATTTGGTAGCTGGGACGGATTTACATAATTTTGATATTTACCTGATTTTTAGATGCAGAATGTGACTAAAAACCTAAGCCATTCCCAAATCACAAAGGTTTGAGGAAAGCTTACAGGAAAACATGAAGATAGCAAAACACAGAGCTACAAAGAAAATAAAAGATGTCGAAACAAGCAAGCAGAGGTGTATGGCAAGCGGAGTCAACCTGGCAATACCTGCTTTTCTCTCTCACTACTGGAAACGGGGGGAGCTAACCACTGAGCATCAGTTCAGCTGATTACTTTTCTCCCTACGTTAGAATGCAAGTTCTCTGAGAGTAGGCACAGTGCCTTTGAATGGATTCTGGTCTCTCCACCCTGACAGTGCCCCATTGAGAAGTTCAATGTCCGTTAAACTATGTTTGGAGAAGAGCAAGTCTTCAAGCTGGCTCTGTGAGTGTGGCTGTGGTGAGAGGCCAGAAGACGCAATACTTGTCCCTGGTACCATCTGACCAAACAGGTCCTTCCTCGGGGTTCTGAGGTGTCTCTGCCTACAGCATCTAGTTTACTTTGCTGGAGATTGTTCTTGGGCTGTGGAATATTCATTAAATAATAATAAAATAAATGTAATTTGTGATTAGAATACTTCCCCCCCACACACACATATGGCTACTCTTTTGGTGGCATGATTCTTCCTCCAGTCATGTTTATACCACCCTGTAAACATGGGGGCTTGAAAGTCAATTGTACATATGGGGCTTGAAAGTCAGTTGTATATATGGTAGTTGAAAGTAAAGATGTGTTTGTAGGAAATTTATTCTCATGAGGTTTTTTTTTTTTTTTTCCTGGAAA